TGTCTTTTGATTTGCTCTGGCAGGTGCTCTGGCAGGAGTGCATGTGGACGGGCAGTTCTGGGCCCGGCGTGGCCTTCCGGTACAAGGCGGAGACGTGGTGTTGAGGCACATTCGGATCCGTGTCTGACTGACAAAACTAGTTTTCACGAATCTACCGCCGTGCTGTGACTTCTCATCCCCTTAAACCCCCGCGAACCTCATCAACTCTATGCAGTGTCTGTGTCTGGTTCTGACTCTTGCGCCGGACAGGACGAAACAGTGGATGAATCAGACCAGCTTCGCTGGTACTGCGTTCAACTTCTTGCCTGCGTCCGTCGCCCGTGCAATGATGGACACAGGCATGGTTCCCGAAGGCCTGTTGCTGGGAATGCATTCAAATGGCATAGAATGTCAGTGTCATTGCAATTGTCGGGTTGATATATGACGGTCCATGCATGCTTCCACCAGACTGAGAGAGTCAGAGTCAGTTCCATTGACAGAGATAGACTTTGGCTGCCTGGCCCGGGCAGTCTTGAACATGGAGAAGAAGGTGGAGACCAAGGCCGCGCAAAACTGGCGTAAGTATGCAGCGGTGCTGCGTCCCTGACCTGCACTATCACGGCTTGAAACACATGACAATGAGAGTCAAGCTTGAAATTATTTGTTTTCTGCGCTGCTAACTGGCAGCATGAGGCGCGGAACCGTTTCGTTGTCACGAAGCTGCGGACCGCCTGGAGCAAGTGGCTGATGGTCTGGGCCCGCGCGAACCTCCGCTCCAAGTCTACAGGTGCCGTCTGTCGTCGTGATGTTGATTCGTTTGAGAAATTTAAATTCAAAGGGTCTGCAATCAGTGACTTGCCAGGTTCTTGCCGGCGCCGGGTCCAGCAGTTGGCCCCGGGCCCGCAGGCAATGCAGCTCCAGCGGCCGTGGACTTTAATCCGGACCGGACAGCAGACGTAATGACGGTACAGTTGCCACGACATGTGAAAGTGCGTGGCTCCACGACATGTGAAAGTGCGTGGCTGCAAGAAGCATGCTTATGTCATTCCAACAGTTTGTCTTTGTGCGAGCTTCGCGTGTGCATTATCCTTTACTACACTCTTGCCATTCTTAGAATGCAAGGAGCCGAACGTCCTGCGCTTGTGTCGTGAGCAGCCCGAGGCGTTGCAGCAGTACCGTGCTGCACGTCGACAGGTGCAGGTGTACAAAGCTGCAGCTCGCTTATGGGGCAATGGCATGAATTGGCCCCAGGCCTTGGAAATCGCCACTGAAGCATTTTCGGTCACCGTGTGATCCGTGGTGGTCCAACTGATAAGTTAAAGCATAAAGGCCCGTCGTTCTGTCATAGAATGATAACAAATGCTCATAAAAGCAGACAGCTGCCACCGGAAAATGCTGATTGGGGGAGAGCCACTTCTTCAGAAAAACGGCTCCGTAGAGAGACGTGCAGGATGTGATGAGTGGAGTCGCTGCTCAACGCAAAAAGCTGGATTGCAACAGGTCCACAAGCATGTGTCGGTCCTCGAACGCACCCGCATAGCCCGTAGCAGGTGCAGAAGCCAGGATTTTGTGTTGAGCGAAGCCTTGGCTCATCGCTTTTGGGCCTGCTGCTGTGCCCAGGTCATTCGTGACGAACGGCCTCTTCCAGACTGTCTGGAATCCGAGGCCCGAATGATGACTTTGTGAATCATGATGGTCTGTTTTGACTGTTTTGCTGCATTTCTGATGAACCGAGTCCGCGCTCAACGCAAAACGTTGTCAAATCAGCGGACTGCGTTTTGTGATGAGCCCGGACTCGACTCATCGCAAAACGCGGCCCGCTCCGCGGAGTGCATTTTGTGATGAGTCGAGTCCGCGTTCATCACAATATGCAGTCCGCTGATTTCCTTCCCACCTCAGCGGAGTGCATTTTGTGATGAGTCGAGTCCGCGCTCATCACAAAACGCAGTCCGCTGATTTCAGCGGAGTGCATTTTGTGATGAGCGCGGACTCGACTCATCACAAAACGCAGTCCGCTGATTTCAGCGGAGTGCATTTTGTGATGAGTCCAGTCCGCGCTCATCACAAAACGCAGTCCGCTAATTTCCTGCCCAGCTCGATTCATCACAAAATGCAGTCCGCTGACTTTGGGAATTTAGAAATTAAGTGGACTGTATATAATTCTGTGATTAGAACGTTTTGCAGTGACCAAATAGCGTAGATTTGGAGATGTTGAGGTCATGTCTTTGTGAGATTATCATGAGTGTCAAGCGGTGTATACGGATCTAATTTATTTTGTGGTCATGATCATGTCTGCTCACAACTTGCGCCTTACACCCTTAGATTACGACGGGGGGGAATAGGCAGCAAATTCAGGTGCGGCATGGACACTTAGTAAGTCATGCTTCGGTCGCCTACCGGCCTTGCTTTCTGGAGGCAATCCTTTTTGAAAACAGTGTTTGTGATGAACGGAGGCCGCGCTCATCACAAAATTCCGGGCTCCGCAAGGACCCAAAATTCTGAAGCGGGTCCGGGGGGAACGGGGCAGCGGCTTGGGGTTGGACGAAGCTTGGGGCCTCAAACTCCCAAATCGAAACATGTTTATTTCATGACGTTATGCATTCTGTCTTGGCGCTGGGTGCGCTTGTCAATGTCCGTGTCCTCTGATCCGATGCTGCTCTAAGTGCCATGAGTTCTGAGCTTTGACTTTAAGTGCTGCAGGAAAATGCATCGCAATCCAGCTTGCCCACAGCCGCAGCCCAAGGTGGCAGACGAATAGGTAGAAAATTCAGGTGCGGCATGGACACTTACTAAGTCACGCTTCGGTCTACTACCGTCCTTCCTTTCTGGAGGCAAT